TCCGAAGAATAACGTCTTTCGTTTTGGTAGTAGTGTTATTTGTCTTTACAATGTATCATCAAATGATTGAGCTGTATGGTTGGGGGCACGGGTGGCCCAGTCGTCTAAGGCGCCGCGATTCGCTGTGCAGAGTTGCGTCCCTTGGGCACGCCAGAAACATATGATTGTGGGTTCGAATCCCGGTTCACCCCGATTATGTTTCTAGGTTTGTCAGCACCATACCCGTGCTCGTGGGTTTCACCGAAGTGGTAAATGTCTGAGACCTGCATCACTTCGGGCTTTCCACCCACATTAAGCTGCCGCGATGTAACTGGAATACTGTTAAAAGCGGCGTTAAACCCAACTCACTCACTCACTCACTAGATGTATGGTTAATGTACGTTAAAGTGTTAGTACATGCTCCCTCCCCGTCAAGGCCACGAGGGACGACCGGCGCGTACACATTGGAATAGGTGACGTATCCTAAGGAATAATGTTAGATTAGACTCAAAGTCGTGTTAAATGACGGAGAGTTTACAAGTAGAGGAAGAACTACAGTGCATATATTTCTCGCCTCTGTTTTTTTACCTTTTGCACAATAACCTTATTTACAACTTGCTACTTACACTATATGTCCTACCTATCGCCACCAGTCAAGCAATCTAGCCGCTGGCGTCTTAATCTTCACCCCCGAAGTTTGTCTTCCATCCCCCGACTGAGCATCCAAACTGAGGGCAACGCGTACTCCTGGTCAGAATTCTCCCCCTCGTTATATTAATGTTTTATATCCATTCTATTATTTTAAACATTTATCATAAAAGACTATGTATACTCAACAACAAAAGTTCCTGTGACACCAATATTTTAGTGTATTTTTCAAACAAGTAAAGTTTGGTTTTCAATATTGTAGTACATGTATGGAATCAAGTCACAAAAACGCAACTGCTACAGAAAAGCATGCATTTCATGCAAAAGTTGACTTTTATGCAAGCCTCATGCATTTCACTACCCAAGAATGGGTATAAAAACATGTGCGTTAACGGGATTCCATATGCATTGTTTAGCATCGTGCTGACAACATCCACTCCGAAAAACAACAAAATTATGCAATTATTCAACATTACGAAATGCCACGCCTGTCCGAAAATGAGCGTCTGTGAGCCATTGGTATGCTTGAAGCAGGATCGAGTCAACGTGATGTTGCAAGACAATTTAACGTCCACAGAAACACCATTTGGTGTTTATGGCAAGGTTGGCAACAGACGAATGCAGTCAGAGACCATCCTCGGAGTGGCAGGCCACGCGTAACCAATAATCGACAAGACAACTGGATTCGAACATCACACCTACGAAATCGATTCCAGCCAGGAAAAGTGACTGCAACAAGCATGCCTGGCCTTCGACGAATATCTTCACAAACCGTACGTCGCCGCCTCAGATGTCGCCAGAAGACCCGCCAGACGTCCCATTTTGACAGGAAACCACCACCAAGCACGTCTGCAGTGGTGCAGACAGCGTCTACGCTGGACGGCCATGCATTGTGGACAAGTTCTATTCACTGACGAGTCTCGTTTTCACCTCAGCCACAGCGATGGACGGAATCGAGTGTACCGACGTCGAGGTGAACGTTACGTCAATCATTATGTCATGGAATATGGTCGGTTCGGGGGTGGCAGCGTTATGGAATAGGGTGAGATTACAGCAAGACAGGGGACCCGTTTGATAGTGGTAGAGGGAAATCTCAATGGACAGATCATTGGCCCTGTTGTTCTACCGTTTTTGCGTCGTCATGACCCAGGCATTACCTTTCAACTTGATTACGCCCGGCCTCATATTGCTCGACTTGTTCAGGATTCTCTTCAACAAAACAACGTGAATGTCATCCCCTGGCCGGCTCGCTCCCCTGATCTCTCACCAATCGAGCACATGTGGGATGAGATGGATCGGCGCAATCGACGTCAACCACGTGTTCCACAGACACTCCAGGAACTTCGAAACATGCTCCAGCAGATATCCCACAGGACTTTGTGCGACGCCTGGTCCATTCCATGAGACGAAGATGTGTTGCTTGCATCGCAACCAGAGGTGGACACACGCGCTATTGATTTGTAAATTGACATTTAGGCATGGTCATGTTTTTCTTTATGAAATCACGCATTTTCTGAAGTAAGTATGGCAAATTAAACCATTTGAGCACTTAAAAGAGTCATTTATCTGTTGCAAACCGAAATTGTTTCAGATTGGTAAAAAACATAACTATGCATTAAATCTTATTCAATGTCACAGGAACTTTTGTTGTTCAGTATATAATACATCGACCAAAGACGTATATAGATCTTTGAATCGACGATGGGGATACTAGTATATTGACGATGAATGTTTCCTGAAAGTCTTAACCGGATATAAGCAGTTAGCAGGAGATGAAGGTAGATACGTGTTGATTAAAATAGCAGTTTGGAACACGCTGGTTTGAAGACATATGAAGCATGTAAATATAGCTTGAATGCGACTTGCTTCGCGG